CCCTCGGCTCTTTCTGATGAGCCCTATGGTTTCCGCAGTGCAGTTTGGACTCAGATCCTCCAGCCAGCTTCAGCCAGCTTCGCTGTGCCCACCACATTTCTTCATCCGTTCTGCCAGGCCACCTCCAGGAAGCTGGCTGTGACTGCCCCCCAGCCCCCCCCAGGCCCTAAGACCTTCATACCAGACCCTGTCCTGATCATTGACAGCCTAACTCACTCAGCCGCTAAGCAGCAAAGGTGACCTTGAGCAGGGCCCTGGGCCTGGCGTGAACAGTCACGAAGGTCACCTGCCCTCAGAGGCCGTCGGCTGAGTGTGGGGTACAGCGAGCACCTCCGTTCCCAGCCTCTGCCGCTTCGCCATCCTGACCGAGGAGGACACAGGCCCAGAGAGGTGATGAGGCTCGCCAAGGACACACAGCACAGTGCCACAGGGCACCGCTGGCCTGGCCCGGCCCATGCCCATCTTCCTCCCCAACAAGGCCGAGCCCCAACAATTCACACCGACACCCCTGACCCTGGCATTGCCATCTTTTTTTTTAATAGATAAGAAAATTGCATCTTTGAGGCATAAAGCCACCCGCCCAAGGTCGCGCACCTTCTCTACTGGGTGCCAGGCCCCAGGAGGCTCTCACCTCCTTCCACCCCCACCCCCCACCCCCAGCTCAGAGCCAAGCGTCTCCACCAGCCCCAGCCTATCCCAGGCCTGGCCGGTCACAGCCGCTCAGTCCCTCTGCAGTCCTGGCCTGAGCATCTCCCTCCCCCCCCGCACCCCCCTCCCCCGCTGCTCCCTGAGGAGCTGCCAGCCTGCCCGGGCACAGGACGCTGCAGCTGGCCCGGCCGGGCTGCCCTCACCCCTCCCGAGCCGGGCGCAGGGGAGGGAGACGCTCTCGGCCTCTCCCCGTGCTGGCAGAGCTGCCCGGAGGCTGCCTGGCGGCTGGACGGAGCGCTCTCGCAAGCCTCCAGCCTCCCCCCCCCCCCGCTGCTGTCCCCCCAGGGACTCAGCCTGGCCGCTGACCTGTCCACAGGACCACGGGCCTCGGGACCCGCCCCGCGCCCGTGGCTCCTGCACAGTGGCGGGAGGGAGACGCGGAATGAATGAACTTCTCAGCTCCCGAGGAGGCCGGGGGAGAAAGGCTGGAAACTGATTTCCAGGAGCTGCCCAGTGGGGCCAACTCCCCGCTGCCGCAGCACACCCCTTCGCCTGGCCCTCACCCCGGCTCCCCTCGAGCAGCAGACAGACGCTGGGCACAGGTTTCCTGAGACTAGAGGTGGGTTCAACTTCAGGAGAAGTTTCTGGCTGTGTGTGTGTGTGTGTGTGTGTGTGCAGCCGCTGTGTTGGGTGAGCCCCTTTTCTGTGAGCTGGAAGGTTTGCTGTCAGCTGTTTGGGGGGAGCAGGAGGCTGCAGAATTAGAGCTGGGGTTCTGGGAAGGAGGAGATGTCCGTCTGGGGCGGATTGGGACTTGCTGTGTGACCTTGGACAAATCACTGCGGCTCTCTGGGTCTCGGTGTTTGCCCTGGGGAGATTGGCCAGCCTGGTGCAGGCTCTGCGCTCTGCAGTCTCCAGGCGTCTCTTTGCTCTGGCCGTGCCCTGCCAGTGAGGTCCTGCATGCAGAGCAGCAGCGCACCGCGTGGGAAACGCAACGGCTGCGATTTAGTCCTCACCCCTCCCCATCCCCCGAATCCTGCCCGCCCTGACTCGAGGTTCCCCTCCCTGTCCGCCTCCCGCCGCTGCCGCCAGCTTTCCTTCTGGTGGGAGAGGCGATTTGGAGCCGGCTCCGGCTGCCGTGAATCGCGTAGAAATCGTTGCTGAGGGTGAGAGCTATTGCAGAGGTGATCTTGTAAATACCTTGTAAATTTAAAAAAGGGGGGTTCCACATGCGATCCTAAACCCAGCGCCCCAAATAGGCCTGAAACGAAGGTGCGTTAGAGGCCTGCTTCCATGTGCAGATTAAAAAGAGCAAGGCCCAGAGGGGGGAGAGTGACCCGCTCAAGGTCACACAGCAAGGGTCGCTGAAAATCCAAGGTGCCCTCACCTTCCAGGCCCAGGCCCTCCCTCTGGAGAGGCAGAGCCGAGGGGTGAGGCCATCTTGGGGCTCCTCCCGGGCAGCGTTGCGGGCCCCATCTGCTGACCCTGCCATGGACCTCCTTCTCTGAGCCTCACTCTAAGTCGGGGCTTGCCAAACCGTGGCACGGTGTTTGCCCATCCTGTGCCTCTGTTTCCCCGTCTATAAAGTAGAGCGCATCCTGCCTGCCCGTGGGGTGGAGGGGGGCTAACGCGGGGGCTGCCTCAGGCAGAGCGGAGCGCTTCGCCCCCTTGGTGCCTGCGCCGTGGCACTGCGCCCCTCGGGGCGCGGGAGCGAGCACAGCAGCGGGGGGCAGTGCCACCCCTGTGGGGGCCGGCGTGGCCCCTCGCAGCGGACACAGCTTCCACGCTGCCGGGGGGCTGGCACCGTGTCAGGTGAGAGGTGGAGGCCGCAGGTTCAAGACCACCCAGCCTGGAAGGCCGCCCCCACCCCCACCTTGTCCAGCCTGAGCCCCTCTGGGTGGTTCCGCGGGTACATAGTAGCTGCTCAATAAACGTGAGCAACCGCCACCATTTCAGGACGGCGCGCGTCTGTGTGGCCGGCTGGGAGGTGCCAGGAAGATGACTGCCCTCCACCCTCCTCCTCTTCCTCTTCCTCTTCTCCCTCCAGCGGCCGACCTGAAGCCCCGCCCCACCCCCCAGGACATCGTCCGCCATGCCCGTCCCCTCTGCAGACCAGAGCTTGCACCTTGGACATCCTCACTTGGGCGCCTGCAGCCCCCTGACCCCGGTCTGGCCGGGTCCGCCTGAGGCCCCGCCGGCCAAGGGCCTGTACTACCGCCGGGCGCGGAGGGTGAGCCCTCCCGACG